ATGAGCCTGGTTGCTATGTCACCAGGGTCACCAAAGCACTTACTTGTCTTTTTTCTTTTCTTTTCTTTTTAAGACAAGGTCTCATGTAGCCCAGGCAGAGTATGTAGCCAAGGATGACCTTGAATTTGTAATCCTCCTATCTCTAACTCCTGAGTGTAGCAGGCTTTCTTTTCGGACACCAACCATCTCCTAAATCATGACACAGAGACTTATTATTAGTTATGAATGCTATGCCTTATCTTAGGTTTGTCTCACTAGCTTTTGTTTTGTTTTGTTTTTCAAGACTGTGTAGCTTTGGAGCCTATAGACCAGGCTGGCCTGGAACTCACGGAGTCCACCTGCCTCTGCCTCCTGAGTGCTGGAATTAAAGACGTGCACCACCATGGCCAGCATTAGTGATCAAGCAAAATAGAAGCTCTGGGTCTGAAGCTGTAGGGTTCTTCTTCTACACCACGGTGACAGAGGCACCACTGGCTGTCACCTGAACTCAGGGACTCACCCCTTGTCAGAACAAGTCCCTCTGTGTGTATCCACAAGGCTCAACTCTCTATACAGTCTGCATAGCTGCAGGCCTTCCACAAGGCAGCTCCCGGCTGGGTGCTGTAAGGTGATGTCCGAGACAGGATTGTTCTCTGAGAGCACCAAAGACAACATGGTTGACAGACCTGGCATGCACATATACCAATTGCTGCAAGAGGGGATTTGGAAGAGGTGTAACAAGTTCCTAGGGAAACTGACTACTATCTAGTGTGAGAGTCTAGGACTTCTTCAGTCCCTGTGGCTGAGTCACTAGGGGTTAATACACTTGGCTAAGTGACCTGGGTGGTAAGACTCCTTCTGGGCCCAGTGTCCACACTAAGGCTAAGTCATTGCCACTTGTTATTAAGAGTTATCTCTTCTGGGCGTTGGTGGCACATGCCTTTAATTCCAGCACTCAGGAGGCAGAGGTAAGAGGATCTCTATGAGTACGAGACCAGCCTGGTCTACAGAGCGAGTTCCAGGACAGCCTCCAAAACAATACAGAGAAACCCTGTCTCAGAGAAAAAAAAAAGTTATCTCTGATGACAAGGCACAAGCCAACCAATAGTAATGGAGAGGTTTAGGGATGTCATAGCCCAGGGGACATAGCTAGAATTCAAACCCAGGACCAATTCCGAAGCTGTCCTTCTCACCACACACCAGGATATGGAGGACAGAAGACAGGACAATCAGGAGATGAGCGACACCGTGCTGGGAAAACCAAGTGTTCTGAAGAGCCCACTTGTGGCATTGTGGGCAATGGGTGGGCGGAGGAGCAGGAAGAGGCGCTGGGCCTCAGAGCATACTTGGGGCTCTGACTCTCAGCCCAGATGCAATCTCCTCATGGCATGCTGCCATGGGACCTGTCAGCTAACTTAGCCCTGCTAGTGACATGTCTGTGTCCTTCCAGGTAGGCTGAGCACCCCAGAGTTCAGTCCTCACCTGCTGCCTCCCTGTCTGTCCTCCCTCTCCGGCTGTGCTTGCTCAGAACCTGGGCCTGGGGGGGAGGAGAAGGTACCTGCAGAAGTGCAATTATGTAACTCTGAGTTGACAGCAGGAAGGAAGAAGGAAAGAAATTAAATTGTTCTCTTTTTTTTTCTTAGTCTTGTACATATTTCGAACCTGGATAGCTTGACATCCCTCCCACTTCTTCTGTTTCCCTGCCCTTAGAGTGCAAGCCGGTTTCTTAGTTTTGTGTACATGTGTGTGTTGAGGGTGGGGGTTACACATGGTGCTTGCATTTGGAGGTCAGAGGACAACCAGCCAAGGGTGTTGGTCTTCAGACTCCTCCCACCATTTGTCTGAGGCAAAGCCTCTAATTGGCCTGAAACTTCACCACATAGACAAACAGCAAATCCTAGCTGGCCTAGGTGCTTCCGGGAATCTCCACTATCCAATTCCTGCCTCTGAAATTACATACATACCCCCTCATGCCCAGCCTTTCTCCTCAGTCCCCGTGCTGTTGAGGCAAGTGCTTGGCTGACGAAGCAATGCCTCGTGCTCTGATTTTGTCTCGATTGCAATGCAACCTGGGAGTTCAGAGACCTTCCCACAGGTTGGGGAAGGAAGGGAGTCTGTTCACTGTAGTTTCTGATAGCTGTGGTTTTTGTATCTATTTCATTTTACTCAGACAATAAGCCCACATTGTCTCAGCTACTGTACTGTTGCTATGATAGAGAACAAAACAAGACACCCTGATAACAAAGCAGCTTTGGGGAAAGGGCTTATTTTAGCTCACAGTTCCAGGCTGCAGTCCATCACCGTGTGGAATCATGGTGGCAGGACGCTGAGGAGGCTGGTCACATAGCATCCAGCGTCAGCAAGCAGGAAGTGACAAATCCTGGTCCTCAGCTCCCCTCTCCTGTTGAGCAGTCCAGAATTCCAGCCCAGGCAATTCCCTCCCGCTTCCTGAGTGCCCAGCCCTCCCGGACCCCAGTCTCCATTCCCACAGTTGAGCCCTGCCAGGTGACTCTTCCGCTCCCTGCCTCACAAAATGATGCAGAAGAACTGGGTGTGACCACCTGGGCGTGATCCGGAAGAGGAAGTAAGCCCCTAAGGGAAACTTTGGACCCAGGGGCTCCTGCCTCCTGGCCCCTTCATCCTCCGTGACTCTGTGTCTCCCTTGTAACCACTCCAAGGTCCCTAAATGGATACAGTCCATGCCCCAGCCCTACAGCTCTATGGTTTGTGGTAAAAAGATGTGGCTCTGGGCTTCTTGGTAAGGAAATGAAGTCCCCGTTAGCCTGTTTAGCAACAGGCCCTCCTGGCCAAGGTTCTCCCACACCTAGGGCCAGTCAGGGACACACAGTTCCCAGAAACATTCAGTGGCTGGACACCTCCCCAGTCAGCACCCTGGCACAGACAGAGCATCTACCCAGCCTCTCCTGTGCCCAATACACAGCGCTCTGCGCACCTCAGATCATCTTCCACATTCCCTCCGGCATGCTGAGGGAGACAGCGGGGGCGTTGGGAAGCAGAAGGCAGGGTCTGGGTCCTGCTCTGGTGAGCAGGATGGGTGACTCGGCCTTTCTGAACCTAAGTTTTCTCAGGTGGAAAGGGGTGTGATGGGGCTTCGACAGATGTGTGAGACTTGAACACAGCAGTCAGCCAAGGAGATGGAAGGAACAGTTAGTGCTATGAGCGCCCACCCCCATTGCCCCAGTTCTTGATGGCCTAATGGACACCTAGGTCCTGGGCACACCTGGGTGTCCCCTCCAAGCCTGAGATTCCTGGGACTCCGTCAGCCTCTAGAAACAGAATCTATACAGCCTCAGGAACAAACAGAATGTGCACTACTTGGCTGAGCGTCGGTGCACGCCTTTAGTCCCAGCTTTTGGGAGGCAGAGGCCAGCCTTGTCTACAGAGTGAGTTCCAGGATACCAAGGCTACACAGAGTTTAAACCCTGTCTCGAGAAACCAAAAGAAGAAAGGAAGGGAAGGAGGAAGGAAGGAAGGAAGGAGGAAGGAAGGAAGGAAGGAAGGAAGGAAGGAAGGAAGGAAGGAAGGGAAAGAAAAAAAGAAAGTGCACCACACAGAAATGACCAACCAGGGCCCTGAACTCTGCAGAGGAGCCTCAGAGGCGAAGACATGGGGTCCCAGCAGACCTGGGAGGGGGTCCCAGACTGACCGGCTCCTAGAGAATCCTGGACCCGTGTGAAGGCCACCTGGCACAGGAGGGAGGCCCACAGTATTTCGAAGGTCCCCCAGTGAGATTATAGCTTATTCTGAAATCAGGGATGGGGACAGCGAGTGTGGTGGCTCACACCTGGAATCCCAGCACTTAAGAGACTGGGGGAGGGGTGAATTTCAGGCCCACCCTGGCTAAAAAGTGAGACTTTGCCCCCAAAAAGAAAAAAAATTAAATAAAATTGGGGGGATATTTTTAAAGTGGAAGACAATGTGCCCCTCATATTAGTAAATAAAAAGTCCTTAGAGGTGTGATGGGTACTACAGATTGTCATCTTGACAGGATGCAGAGTCACTCAAGGAACAATCCTCTTGGTCTATGAGGACATTCCTAGATTAGGATAATTAAAGTGAGAAATCCCATCCTAAATGCAACCAGCACCACCACCAGGTACCCTGGGTTAACAATGGAAAATGCCGTCTGGGAACCAGCAGCTGCCACCATCCAGCCTTCTCTGTCCAGTCTCCTTCCCCACCCTAGGCACGGTGTGACCAGCCACCTCTTCTACCACCATAATAGTCTGTGTCCTTAAACCACGAGCCAAATAACTCTTCCTTAAGTTGACCTTGTCAAGAATTTTGTTCCAGCAAGACAAAGAACTAATACTCTGTTTTGTTAAGGTGGGGGTCTCATGTAACCAGGCTGACCTGAAACCTACTGTGTGACCGAGGATGGTCTTGAACTCCTGCCCCTTATACTTCCACCTCCTGGGTACTGGGATTACAGGTGTGCACCACTGTGCCCGGTTTATGCTGTGCTAGGGATCACATCCACAGCCTCGTATATGCTAGGCAAACACTACCAATTGAGTTACATGCCCTCCGCCCCAGGCAACATTTGGATTTATAGCTGGCTGGGTCCAAACTTTTCATCTTTACCATACCCTACTGGGTGTTCACAGATCACTTTAATGGGGTCCTCTCAGCCTGAGGTTAAGGCCATCACCCCATTTTACAGCTGAGGAAACCAAGTCTGGAAGAGATTGGGGTTCTGTGCCCATAGTCTCTTATCTAGCCAGTGAGGGAGTCTAGAACCAGTCCCTGGCCCCCTTGACCAACCCTGGCCATGTCCAGAGCATTTCCTGTCTTCCACTGTCCCCACCTTCTACACTCACTGTGAGCCTCACTGCTGTACCCTACACAAATAATCCCGCCTTTCTTCCCACCCCTTTCCTTGCCTGGGCTCCCCGCCTCACAGAGGGTTCTGGCCAGCACTCCTCTCCCACCTCCAGCCAAGCAGGAGCTGCTCCTGCTACCCGAGAGGCCGTGGAGAGAAGGAGGTGACTTGCCGGAGCCAGAGCACAGGCTTACACGAGGCTGCGTGTCCCCGGACAAATGCCCCTCTGTATCTCGAGGCCTATTGGGACTGGCAGCCACCCAGCACTCACCGCAGGCAGCCTCAGAGGCTAGGCTTGGCCTCTCTCTTGTCCTCTTTGCAGCACAGGCCTGCCAGGTCCCGACTGGGGCAGGAAACAGGGGGTGTGCTCTTTCTGGAATGGAGGGTATGGGAGGCAAGCCAGCTTAAGGAGGGTGAGGGGGCCACATCAGGAACTACTCAGGAAGCCTGAAGTCTTAAGGTGGAAGGCTGAGAGGAAGAAGGTCACTGGGTCCCGGCTGGCTATTCCCTGGGAGAGAAAGCTGCACTCTAGACAGAACACTGACTTTGGCACAGTCCCACAGCAAGTGAGCAACAAAGGTAAGATTTGAATCCAGGACTTCTCCCAAGCCAGCGCTCCAACTACTGGGGTCCCCATCATGGCCCCATGAACAGACACTGCTGTGAGACCACAGATCAGGACAAGTGGGCTCCCAGAAAGAGTGGCCTACCTAGATAATAGAGTACCTGGTCCCCTACACCAGGTCCCCGGCACATCCTCCTTCCCCGAAGATGCTCCAAGACAGTGGTTCTCAACCTTCCTAACGCTGCGACCCTTTAATACAGTTCTTCATGTTGTGGTGTCTCCCAACCGTAAAATTATTTTCACTGCTACTTCATAACTATAATTTTGATGTTATGAATCATAATGTAAATATGTGATATGCAACCCCTGTGAGTCATTCAGAATTCAAAGGGGGCCTGACCCATAGGTTGGGAACCAATGGTCCAGAGAGCTTTTCTCAACGTAAGCTATCCACAGCCAGCACTTTGAGGTTGCCGTGTCCTCAGGAAAGGCAGGAGAGACAGAAACCCAAATTCAGATCCTGTCATGCACAGTGTACTGGTCTGAAACCCCAGTCTGGGGGAAGCTGAGGTAGGGGATGGAGTTTAGAGCCAGCCTGGGTTACATAGTAAGACCAGGCTGGACTCAAACTTGTAGCAAACCCGCTTCAGCCTCTAGAGTAACTGGGATTATTAGCGTTCTCTATCATTCCCAGCAAACCATGTTTCTTAAAACATACAAAAGCAGGCTGGAGAGATGGCTCAGTGGTTAAGAGAGCACGGGTTGCTCTTCAGAGGACCTCCAATTCCAGGAGATCCGATACCCACTTCTGACCTCTGTGGGCACCAGGTAGCATGTGGTGCATTGGCATACAGTCAAACTCTCAGACACATAAAAACAATTAAGGGGGGCTAGAGAGATGGCTCAGTCAGTAAAGTGCTTGCCACACAAGCATGAGGACCTGAGTTCGAGCACCCAGCACCCACATAACAAGCTGGGGGCGTGATAGTGCGTGATTATAATCCCATAGCCAGACAGGCGGAGACAAGGGGGTCCCTCCGACTCCCTGGCCAGCACTCTAGCCTACTTGGTGAACTTCGGACCAACAAGTGACCCTGTCTCACAAGACAGGTAGATGGCACTTGGCACCCAAGGTTAAGCTCTGTCTCCCATATGCACACCAGTACATATATGCCTATGGGGTTATTATTATGTGTATATATATAATGTATGTGTTCTGCACATGTGTGCCACTGTGTGTATGTGCATATGAGAGAGAGCGAAACACAGAGAGACAGACAGACAGACAGACAGAGAGGATGACTTCTGGGAATCGATCTCTTTCCACTATGGGTCCCAGGGTTCGAACTCGGGTTATCATGCTCTTATGAGCTAAGCTATCTTACCTGCGTCTTGTTTTCAGTAAGTGACTAGAAGTAACTCCGAACCCTATGTGCCTTATGAACAGGGAACAGTGTTGTCATGGCAGTTGGGCATTAAAAGAGAAATGGGGGGGTGTGCAGCCTGGGGTGTCACTTGTGGGTCACCAGCCTGGGGTGTCACTTGTGGGTCACCAGCCTGGGGTATCACTTGTGGGTCACCAGCCTGGGGTGTCACTTGTGGGTCACCAGCCTGGGGTGTCACTTGTGGGTCACAGCCTGGGGTGTCACTTGTGGGTCACAGCCAGTTGCTGTGTTGTTCTCTGCTGCTACTCGACCCTGCTCTGGACTCGTCAGAAAGACGCGGCCATGAGCGTCTCCTCTGTGAGTGCCTCCTCTGTGAGTGCCCTGAGGCTTTCTCGGTCCTCAGTTTCCCCATCTGTAGAGGAGCCGGCAGTGGGCTCCACAGTATTCAGACTAGCAACTTCCTCCCGGAGTTCTCACAGACAGTGTGGGGTGAGGAGGCACTGGGAGGCTGTTCGAGCAGAAGGGACTTGTGCTCCGTTAGCTTTCGAGGGAGCTTGGCTTCTGGTGCAGCGCATCCACCGCACTCCAGATCGATCAACCTTCAGTCCACAGAGAGCAGGATCCCCTCCTCCTCCAGCCTCAGGCAGCCATCTCACCACAGGTGTGTGACCTTGTCTCCGGATTCCCCTGCCTCTGCCTCTGCCTCTCAGAGCGTACAGGTGTGTCACTACACCCAATTGTGCAGTGGGGGCAGGGGGGTCTGACCCAGGGCTTTGGGCTTGCCAGGGAAGCACACTGCTAAATGAGCTACACACACACACACACACACACACACACACACACACACACACACACACACACACACACACACACACACCTGGCTTTGCTACTCAGGCTGGCCTCCAGCTCCTGGTCCTCCTGAGGGCTGGGGTTCCAGGGCGTGTGCCGCCACACCCAGCTATATTTTCCAGCTACATTTTTCCACTAATCTCCACAAGGCTGTGGAACAGCTCTATTGGAACAGTCCAAAAAGCAACAGATGGAAAACACTGGGTGAGGAGGTCGAGGTGGTAATTCATATACCCATCTGAGACTAAAAATAATCCATGATGAACAGAGTGTGAAGGTCCATACCTTCAATACCAGCACATTATAAACATTATCAGCTCCCTCTAGCCCACCTTAAGGATTGTTGAAATGGAAGATACTTAGCCCAGAGGAAAAAAAACAGAGACAATGGAATTGCTGTTTTCCAGGGCAGAAAATCTAACCTACAGCTCACTGCTATTGCCACCTGCTGGAAAGAGGAAGAATTGCCACGCTGATATCTGCTGACCTAGTAGGGGATCCAAGAAGTTGGAGTTCTTTCACACAAAGCAGAGCTCCTAAACCTGATAGGGTTGTTATGCGGGAAAGATGGCAGAGGGGAATAGTGCCAGTGGGCACTGACATGAGGATCTGTGACTTAAACCAGCCCCAACGTTTCAGGATGTCAGGGCTTTCCTTAATTTCATTTGATGTTTAATTAGATGTTTGTTTCCTGTGTATGCATGATGGTGTGTGGAGAAGGTAGAGAACAACTTATAGAAGTTACCTCTCTCCTTCTGCTAAGTGGGTCCCAGGGATTGAACTCAGATCATCAGACTTGGCAGCAAGTGCCTTTACCCGCTGAGCCATCTTGCCAGCCCCTAATTCATTTTTAGTTTTTTTTTTAATTTTTGAGACAAGGTCCTCATGCAGCCCAGGCCATACTCAAACTCCTTATGTAGCCAATGATGATCTTTAATTTCTGATCCTCTGTGCACACAGTTTATGCAATGTTGGGAATTGAACCCACGGCTGCTTCATACATATTAGGCAAGAACATTCCCTATCTGGCTATGTCCCAACTCCATGGAAGATGAGTGGCTTTCATGGGTTAGGGTTACTCTGGGTCGCAGTTGCTTATTTGTGGCTTTTTTCCGCTGAGAATTTGTTTGCTTGTCTTATCCAGGGAGGAGCTTGGAAGCAGTGCAGAGAAAGAGGGGAGGTGTTGTATTGAAGACTTGGGGGGCAGATTCTTCCTGATAAGGGCCCCGGGGAGAGTCAGACACGGATGTGTAAGTAAGCGGTCCTGACCTCCGACACTTCCCAGCCCAGCTCCCACACAGGACGGTTTGTTAGCCATGCAAGGGAGCAATAGTGGGGCCCGTGAGTGTGACTAACGCTAGGCTGAGGTAGAAGTCCCCAGTGTGACCAAGGGCAGCACACAGTAGGAGGCAGGGTCAAAGTCCTGGGCAGAACCTTCTGTCAAATCCCAACACTGATGCAGGTCATTTTCTGTGTGTTTTCTCTGGGAAGCAGCCTAAGGCAGGTTCATGGAGATAGGACTGTGCAGTCCCAGACACACACACACACACACACACACACACACACATACTGCCTACAGCCTAGTAGAGCTTCCGCTAGAGGCTATGTTAGGTGGGGCTCCTGTCTATTCCAAGCCTCCGGCGCCTCATGCGTACAGTGGCTGCACACTCCTTCCCAGAACAAAAACAAGGATGGACGCAGACCTTGCCTGTGAAGCAGGAGGGCCATGCTCACAAGTGTGGTTGTGAATTAGTCTCACTCTCTGAAAAACAGCCCTGCCCTCCCTAGAGTGTCCTGACATCCCACGGCCACAGGCACGCACAGTGCTCAGTCCCCGTCTTGGGCCTGACTTGATTGAAGTTGCTGGACCCCCCACACATGAAAACATCCACATCCGTGGCCGTCGATGTTCACCGCCCTCCTCCCACCTTCTCTAATGTGGCAGGAACAGAGATGTCATTGAGAGCCCTCGCTGCCCGGACCAGGCAAGACCGGCTCTGGGATTGCACACTGTTCTTCTGGAAAGAGGAGTAACTGGCCCGCCGGCACCTGGAGCCCAGCGCCCAGGAGGTGGACCCAGACTGACCTGAGGAGGACTGTGTCCTGTGTCCTGTGTCCTGCGTCCTTAGGAGGCTGCTCACTGGTCAGTGGGGTGTGTGTGTGTGTGTGTGTGTGTGTGTGTTAATTTATGTGACTGAATGTGAATAGGTATAAGGGTATGTGTATGTGTGTATGTATGTGTTTATGTGTGCACAGTGCATATGTATGTATGTGGGAATATGTGGGAGTGGGTGGGGTGGGTATGAGGGAATGACTGGGTATGTGTATGCACATGTGTGTGTGTGTATGTGTGCATCTGTTTTTTATTGCGGTGACTGGTCAGGACCCCTGCCAGGTGCACCTCAGGGCAGGTGGGAAGGTGGGGAAAGTGCAGGCTTTGCAGTTGGCAAGGTCAAGTTCATGAGCTGCTCTGCAGCTTTCGGGCTAAATGAGCACAAGCGTGAACTTCTCAGGGTCCTCACTGGAAGCCATGGGAAGGGAAACCCTGTTTTCTGTGGGGCTAGAAATAGGTTTAGGAAACACATCTGAGCCCCTCTATCTTGCTGTGATGGGAGAAGCAAGGGTCTTCGCTTAAGAACACAGCAGGGAGACAGGGAAACCTCATCCCAAATTCTCATGCTTGGCCCTTTTTATTTTTTAGATAGTATCTCACTTATCCTGGGCTAGCTTCAACTCCCTTTGTAGCTGAGGCTGGCCTTGAAATCCTGACGTTCTGCCTGCATCCCTCTGGTACTAAGATTACAGGCATCACCACTATTCCCAGGTCATTGAACTCTTTTTTTATGTTATTTAAACATTTTTATTAATTTATTTTTTACATTCCAATCTCGGTTCCTCCTTCCCCTCTCCTCTCACTCCCTCTACTCCCCCCACCACCTCTGCTCCTCAGAGAAGGTAGTCCTTGAACTCTTTTTTTTTTTTTTTTTTTGGTTTTTCGAGACAGGGTTTCTCTGTGGCTTTGGAGGCTGTCCTGGAACTCACTTTGTAGACCAGGCTGGTGTGGAACTCACAGAGATCCACCTGCCTCTGCCTCCCGAGTGCTGGGATTAAAGGCGTGCGCCACCAACGCCCGGCGTCCTTGAACTCTTGATAGCACTTTCTGGACTGGAGCTGTCACTCAGCTGGCTGAGTGCTTGCCTAGTAAGCACAAAGCCCTACGTTCAGTCCTCAGCACCACGTAAAACCGGTGTGATGGCCACGCACCTATAATCCCAGCGCTGGAGACACAGGGGCAGGAGAGTTAGTTCCTGCTCATCCTTAGCTACATAGTGAGTTCAAGGCCAGACACTGTCCCAAAAAAACAAAAGTACTATTCACACCCCTAACCCTCAGCTCCCTTAGGTCAGGGCCCTTTATTTCACAGGCAAGCAAATTCTGTCCCTTCCTACAGTCCTCCCACTGACGAAGGGGAGATAGGAGTTTATCTGGGGGAGGCAGACAGACCTGAAAAAGAACCATCCATGGCTGTATCTTCAAGGGCCGGCAGGGAGCATGCAAAGCCAAGTCACAGACACTAGCTGTGCTTTCTGGCAGATGGTGGCAGTGGGGAGGAAGTAAGCAGCCTCCCTAACTCAGTCTGGCGGGGGGACTCTCTTGGGAAGGGTGTCTGACTTCAAGCTGTGTTCTTTCTGCTGGGAAGCGTGTGGCCACCCCAGACTGTCTAAGGGAGTCAGGTGACCAGAAGCCCAGGGTAGAGGACTGATGTGCAAGCGGAGGTCAGGCAGAGCCCTGTAGGTTTCATGGAGGGGCCACGGAGCCATGAGAGGTTCTGAAGATTATAAGAACCAGGGCGGCAGGCAGGACTCTGGACTTGGAGCGGGGCAGAGAAAGTGAAGGCAGCGCCTGTCCTATAGATGAACACGGCCAGGACCCCAAGAGCCTTCTTTTTGTAGCTGACAGAGCGTCCAGCTGATGCAGGTGGCCCCCTTCGCGTCTCAGGCAGATACCCGCCCCTCTTTCCATTATGGCCAGGAGAGTGGAGACCGGGATACTTGAGGAGGCTCACTGTAAGGAGCAGGGCTGATGCCTCAGGCAGCCAGCACAGAGACGTACGAGAAGATGGCAAGTCCCTGTCTCCGTGACCCAGCAGAGCTGGTGCGAATATAAAACTGCTTTGAGAAAACAAGTTCTGGGTCTGGAGAGATTTCCCAGTGGTTAGAGCACCTGTTGCTCTTCAAGAAAACCTGGTTCAGCCAGGTGGTGGTGGTGCCCGCCTTTAATCCCAGCACTTGGGAGGCAGGGGCAGGCCGATCTCTGTGAATTCAAAGCCAACCTGGTCTACAGAGTGAGTTCCAGGACAGCCAGGGCTACACAGTGAAACCCTGTCTCAAAAAGAAAAAAGGAAAGGAAGGAAAAGAAAACCTAGTTCTGTTCCCAGCACCCACATGGTGCCTCACAGTCATCTGTGACTGCAGTTCCAGGAGGTCCGATGCCCTCTTCTGACTGCCGCCGGCACCAGGCATGCACATGATAAACACACATACATGAGGCAAAGATGCTTATATCCATAAAACAAAATAAATCTAAGTAAATAAAAATATTTTAAAAAAACAAGTTCTAGGTTCTTTGCTGAGCATGGTGTTGCACACCTATGAGCCCAGCACTAGGGAGGTGGAGTTCAAGGTCATCCTCAGATATGTATGGAGTTAGGGACCTGCCTGGGCTATAAGAGACCCTGTCATGAGGGAGTGAGGGAAGGAAGAAGGGAAGGAGGAAGGAAGGAAGGAAGGAAGGAAGGAAGGAAGGAAGGAAGGAAGGAAGGAAGGAAGGAAGGGACCTTACAATTCTATTCTGGGGTACTATTTTTAGACACACAGTTTCTAGGGCCTCATTTTCACCTGCTGCCAAAAGAACCTGCATGCTTGAGAATTCGAAAACCATCCAGGCAAAGAGCAAGAGGCATCGTGTAGACATGGTAAGACTAACCCTGGTTTTAAACAAAATTTCTTCTTCCTCGTTCTCAGCAAAGTCAAGATGACCACAGCCACCACTCTGGGGGACGCTGTCTTCTCACTGAACATGACCAGAGGAGAAGACTTCCTGTATAAGAGTAAGGTGGACTTTGGAGGGAAGGTTGCCAAGGACAGCTTCAGGGTCAACCTCCTTCCTGGTCCTACTGCTTGCCAACCTCGTGCATGTTTTCTTTGCTCCGGGCCTCGGTTTCCTCATCTGTAAAATGGGGAATATCCCACAGGAGGTTGTTTGGAAGACTCAAAGGAGTCTCGGGAAGGGCTTGGCCCCTGTAGATGCACACTGCACACTGAGTAACCAATAAGCACTAGGACAAGCAATATGACTTTAGACGGCTGCTCTTACTCCCTACTCCTCTGCAGCAAATCCTGGAGTCTAGGGAGCAAAGGAAGTTTGGACCTCTTTCAAGATACTGAAATGGGTCTCCTTGAAAAGTAGCAACTTAGTACATGTGGTGGTGGTGCATACTTTAATTCCAGCACTGGGGAGGCAGAGGCAGGGGGATCTCTGTGAGTTTGAAGGTCAGCCAGAGCTACGGAGTGAAACCCTGCCTTGGTGACAACAATAAAAGCATTAAAGAGTAGCACTCTTTTATTTTTATAGGCATTGATGTTTTGCCTGCATGCATGTCTGAGTGTTGGGTATCCTGCAAATGGAGTTACAAACAGTTGTGAGCTGTTATATGGGTACAGGGAATTGAACCTGGGTCCTCTAGAAGAATACCTAGTACTCTTAACCACTGAGCCATCTCTCCAGCCCCTCCTGCCTACTTCTTAATGGGCAAACGAATGAAGGTGGGAATGGGTTAGTCCTGGGAAATGTTTACCAAGAACCAGGGGTTCCCAGGATAAGAGAAGCCAATGGCAGATCTTCAGAAAGTCAGACACAGGATGCAGCTCAGCTGGTGGAGGGCTTGCCTAGCAGGCATGAAGCCCTGGGTTTGATTGCCAGCACTGGATAAACTGGGTGTGTGTTGCACATAGATGACCCCATCACTGGGGATGTAGAAGCAGGAAGAGCGGAAGTTCAAGGTTATCCTCAGCTAATAACAATGTTTGAAGCCAACTTAAGCTGCGTGGGACTCTGAATACTAGTTTGATTCTCCATTGCTGTAATGTTCACCATGACTAAAAGAACTTGGGGAGGAAAGAGTTTATTTTAGATTACAGCTTACAGCCCATCATCAGGAGAATCCAGGCAGTTCCTGGAGGCAGGGACTGAAGCAGAAACCATGGAGGAATGCTGCTTACTGGCCTGCTCCCATGGCTTTCTCAGCCTGGTTTCTGGTGCAACTCAGGACCACCCACATCAATCACCAACTGAGAAAATGTCCTGCAGACCCAGGTGCAGAGGCCAATCCGTTTGTGCCAGGTTGACACAAACTAACCGGTAAAATATGAAAAGAAGACAAAACAGTTGTCTGAGGAGTGTGGGTCCCTTTCTTCAGCCTTTTCAGTTGTTGACTTGTCCACTCTGCATATGGTTCGGGTGTCCCCAGTAGCAGTTCTACACTGGGGCAGGGGACAGACAGCTGCAGGCTTTGGAACCTGCAGGCGGCTAGATGGAAGGCAGGATGCCTCCCTTCCATAGAGGCCCAGAGAAGGTGATTTCAGGACAAGGTCGCCAACTCCCACATATTCCATCTTGTCTGTCACAAGCACCTCCCTCCCCTGCACACACACATACCCCTTTGTTCTGATCCTTGCTGGGATAGGCGTCCATTTGGAAGCAGCCCAGTATGTCTCAAACAGGAGGGAGCCCCAGGAGGGGAATGACTGAAAGCCAGATAGAAATGATTCTGGTTTGCTTTGAGACAAGGTCTCCATAGATAGCCCAGGCTAACCTGGATCTTGCAATCCTCCTGATGCAGCCTCCAGAGTAGCTAGGGATACAGACTTGTGTCATCTATCCTTTATGTTTAGCAAATCTAGGTAAAGGCACTAAAAAGTGCACACATTTGTGTCACCAACATCCATATCAGGAAACAACGAATACCTCTGGTAGGAAGGCCAGAGAAACACTCCCGTGGGTCTTTGTATTTTTCTGTGTAATTGTTCCCCAATAAACACCCATTTACCATTTATCTTGGATCTAGTGAAATAATTACATCCTCGCCTTCAAATGCCAATGACTCCAAGGTCCTGTTCCCTAAAGGAGGCCCCTAAGTACTGATATGCTGATTACTTGTGTATGGCTTTGACTTTTAGTGAGTGGAAAGAGAGCCATATAGATTCTTTTGTATCTGGCTTCTAATTTTTAAAATATGCATCAGTGTTTTCTGCTTGTGGGTTAAGTGCACCCTGTGTGTAGTACCTGTGGAGGCCAGAAGAGGGTGTCAAGTACCCAGGGACTGGAGTTACAGACGGTTGTAAGTCATTGTGTGGGGAACTAACTTTGGATCCTGTGTAAGAGCAGCCAGTGCTCGTTTTTTAATGAACTAATTTTATGTACATTGGGGTTTTCCCTGCATGTGTGTCTGTATGAGGATGCCAGATACCCTGGAACTGGAGTTACAGACAGTTGTGAACTGTCATGTGGTGCTGGAAATTGAACCTGGGTCCTTTGGAAGAGCAGCCAGAGTGGCCGGTGCTCTTAACTGTTGGGCCTTCTCTCTGTCCGGTCCCTGTTCGTAAAATCTGAACAGGCTTTATTTTTTTAATTTTTATTTTATTATTTTTTAAATGTTTTTCGGGACAGAGTTTCTCTGTGAAACAGGTCTGGCTGTGCTGATACTCACTCTGTAGACCAGGCTGGCCTGGTACTCACTGAGATCTACCTGTCTCTGCCTTCTAGGTTCTGGGTTAATGGTGTGTGCGACCACCACCCAGCTGAACAGAATTTAGTAGTATGCACATACACGGCTGCACAGATGAATGCACAGGTGCAGATGACAGTGACTCATCCTCTCCCATTTTTGCTTATTTTTATATTTTCAAAATTATCCCCAAAATCACATCAATTGCATATTATCAGAAAGAGGGGAGGGAGTCTTGCTGATCTGTTCCACAGAAGTTGAGAGCTGTGCTGGGGCAGCTAAGAGGACTCAGGCTGGTGTAGTGGCACATGCCTGCAACCCTAGCCCTTGGGAGACAGAGGAGGAGAATCAGGAGTTCGAGGTCAGCCTGAGCCACATGGGAGTCAGTTCCTTACTGCTGTTCCAGAACATCTGAAAACAAATCAAGTGAAAGGGGAAAAGGTTTGTGTGAGCTCAGAGCTCAGTGCTGGTGGCTTGGCTCTACCACTATGGGCCTGAGCTGAGAGTATAAGCAGAGGGGGCATGGTGAGCTGCCTACTCATAACAACTGGGAGGCAGAGAAAGATAGAGTGAGACCATGGAAAGATGACCTTCAAAAACACCTAGTGACCCACTATAAATCCAGTGGCTTCATCTGCTGATTAGTTTGAGGTCCTCATGTTCCAGTCAATGATCAGTAATTCAGCCCACCAGCTGGGGACCAAACCATTAATACATGAGATTTGGGGGGATACTTTACATCCAAATTATTCATGACAAGTGTCCACTGGGGACCCTCCAATCTGCATGCCTGCTCATGCCTTCACCATCTCTGCTCTCTCTTATTTTGTATTTTAATTCATTCATATCTTTATTGTGTGTATACGATGTGTATTGTGTGTTCATGTTGGCATGAGCGGGCCATGGCATATATGTGGGGATCAGAGGGCACCTTCAGTATCAGTCCTGCCCTTCTGCCTGGCTTGCAGCAGAGTCTCTGTTATTTTCTCCCATCATACATCAGTACACAACAGGCTCGGGGCCTGTAAGCTTCTGGGGAATCCTCCTGTCTCTGCCCCCCATGCCCGTGGGAGCCCTGGTGTCATCATGCACGAAGACTCCTGTGGTTTCTGGGGACTCTTCTTTGTCTGCCAGGTGCTTCTACACAGTTTCAGTTCCCTCTTTTCTGCAGGTTCTGGGGCCATCGTAGCTGCCATTGTGGTGGTTGTCATCATCATTGTGACCTTGGTTCTCATCCTGCTGAAGATGTACAACAGGTATAGGATGCTCAGGACTGCCTGGGTCCCCCTACACACTCGTCCTCCCCCACTCCTGGGGCAGAGTGTCAGCTCACCTATTCCAGGGTGGCTCTGCGCTCCTGCCCTCTTTGTCAGAGCTGACGTTCAAACCCAATCCATCTGGTTTCAAAGGAAATATTCCCACCACAACATGGAATAATAACAGGGGATGTGGCTCAGTGGGTAGAGCATTTGCCTAGCATACATGAAGGCCTGGGCTTGATCCCCAGCACGGCATAAATAAGTATGGTACCACTCAGGAGGTAAAGGCAGGAGGGTCACAAGTATAAAATTATCCTCAGCTACATGATGAATTCAAGGACAGCCTGGGCTATATAAAACCCTGTCTCAAAAACAACAATAGTAGCATCAAGTGTTATTTTTAAAGCCTTTGGGGTGTTATCATGAGAGCCTATTGGAAACAAGCAGGTGGCGTTGAATTCCAGGTCTCCTGTCATTCTGTCCACCATTGCTGAAGCTCTGATTGACATGTGGGTGGGTACCCCATCACCTCACATTGCTTACACTGATGCCTGCTGGAAATGAGAAAAAGGTTTTAAAGAATTAGGATCTATCAACGGATGAGATATCTCATAGACATCAGAACTCATTATTGTTAGCTATCCAATCTTATGGTATATAAAGTGAAGTTAGGATTACATTTTGCTATATTATTTAAGACAGAGTCTTCTGAGCCAGGTGTTGGTGGCGCACGCCTTCAATCCCAGAACTTGGGAGGCAGAGGCAGGTGGATCTCTGTGAGTTCGATGCTAGCCTGGTCTACAAAGTGAGTTCCAGGACAGGTTCCAAAGCAATACAGAGAAACCCTGTCTCAAAAAAAAAAAAAAGCAAACAAACAAACAAAAAAGCCGAAAGAGTCTTCCTGTTTAGACCAGGCTAACCTCAAACTCTAAGTGTTCTTGCTTCAGCCTCGAAAGTCCTGGGATTGTAGACATTTTAAGTCTGTTCTCTTCTCAATTACACAAGATGGTCTTAAATGTTCCTAGCAAAATACTTAGCATGCATGAGCGCACTGCAACCTTTGAGGCTCCCCTTAGACTTAAATGCAGCCACTGCTCCGACTCCATTCACTGTCAGGGGCAGGGTGAAGGCTAGCAGTTTAAAGTTAAGCAGAACCTTCTGAAGTGAGCCAGGCTGATGTTGAAGGTCCTTCCTGATTGCGACAATGTGACTTTATGACAAGCCATCCTCACGGAACCCATTCCTTACTGTCTCTTACAGGAGAATGAGAGCTAGGCGGGAGCTGGAGCCCAAGAGCCCAAAGCCACCTGTGCCTCCTCCCCTGGACCCAAACAGCAACGGCAGCCAGCAGCCTGCGACTGTGACCTTCAGTCCTGCAAACACCCAAGCGGAGACTCGGTGACCCTACCCTGGCACCATCCCTGCCTCTGCAAAAAGCTTTGATGACCCAGAAGCACCCTCTGCTGGCAGCTTCACTGAATTCTCTCTGGTTGGGTAAACTGAGGCACCTCTCATATACAGCCCCCGCAGCTTGAAGCCATCCTTAACTGTGCTCTGCTTGGCCACCCCAGCTGTGTCCATATCCCTGCTGCCACTATACCAAAGAGCTAAGGACAGTCTTTTGTCACCTGATGAGAAGAACTATGCTGGAGACACTGGTGTGTGTCTGGTTCTTGTCCTACAAATGCTACAGCTAGACAGACAGACAGACAGACGTCTGAGTGTTCTGGTCAAGGATCAGGAAGTGCTAATGATAATGTCACCCAGGGTCTGCCAACTGGGAGCATCTTGGCTTAAGCGTCATGTCCACAACTTTGCAGAACAGATTTCCAATCCCATATCAGGTGTAGGGAAACTGATTTTGACTAACTAACCACAAAATCAACTTGGTAACGTCTAACCTATTCCAGTAGTAGATGACCGATAGCCAGCTCATGATGGCCAGCCAGAACTTTCTCCCCCTTAAGCGACAAGGGTATCAGAGGCTGAACTTGGTGGCACATGTGTCTGTCATCTCAGCACTCAGTAGAGGCAGGAACATTGTGATTACATGGCCAGCTTTGGCTATACAAGATGTTTAACTTGAAAAATATTACAGAATAAGCAGTATTCACCCCCCCAAAATTCTACTTCATTAGTAGCCAGGAGAAGGTATCCTGAGGAGCAGAGGCTAACTCTAGAATGAGGAGCACAGGCTAGCTCTAGGAAGAGGAGCAGAGGCTAGCTCTAGGTGCGCATGCACCTGGTTGTGTGGTACCTGCTCAGGACCCCTTTTGCTGCCCCAGGTGGACTATCCCACTCCTCATTTTCTGGCTCCTTTTTATTTGGATGCTAAGCTTTCTTGACAGTCTCCTTGCCTCTGGGACAAGTATTTTGAGGCCCATTAAATTCTGCATTTCCTGTGTCCTTCCTAGTCACCTTGCAGAGACAGTCACCACACAACATGGACAACCTATTCTCTGTGGCAGCTGATCTCTGAGCCCTGGGCCAGAAGACGATCTGCTAGCAGGGACAAACATTTCAGAATTAAGATTTACACCCAAACTGGGAGGTGGCAGCACACACCTTTACTCTCAGCACTTGGGAGGCAAAGGCAGGTGGATCTCTGTGATTTTGAGGCCAGCCTGGTCTACAGAGGAGTGCCAGGACAAGCTCCAAAGCTACACAGAGAAACCCTGCCTCAAAACAAACAAAACAACAACAACAAAAGATTTGCATCCAAACTGTTCTCTCTTACTACTTTGAAAAGCTCATGGGATGGCTCAGTAGGTATATGTAGCCAAGCCTTGAGCACCTAAGTTTGATCCTCGGGACCCACAAAGTAGAAGGAGAGAACAGATTCCTGTAAACTATTCTCTCATCTCTGCATGTGTGCTGTGGTGCTCCACAAACACAGTAAGCAAACAAATTAAATGTAAGTAAATTTTTTTGTTTTTTTAAATAAAAGGTCACTGGGGGTCTAGGGAGATGGCTCAGGGGCCAAGAGTGCTTGCTGTACAAGCATAAGGACCTGAGTTCAAAGCCCCAGAACCCATCTGAAAAGCTATGTGTGGTGAGATGCACCTGCAAACCCCCCCACACACACACACACTGGGAAGAGGTAGAGATGGGAGAATCATGGTGGCTTGCTGACCACCAGCCTGGCTTCAGGATCAGTGAGAAAGCTGTGTCACAGGAGTGAGGCAGAGAACGATAGAGCAGCCCACTTGACGTCCTCTTCTGGCCTCCAGGTATGCTCACACGGGAGCATGTGACACACATGTAACACACATACACACAACAACACACATACACACAAAAAAAATTATTTTGAGACTGGCCTGGAATTCATTGTGTGACCAGGCTAGCCTAGAATCCACAGAGATCCTCCTGCCTCTACCTCCTGAATGCTGGGATTAAAGATGTTCACTAGCTTCCTGCTTAGACCCTGCACAAGCCCCAACGTATGATGCTTCCCTGGCCATTTTCTGCTTTCAAAATAAAACAAACAAAACCCTTATGCTGCTGGAGACCCAGCTCCTCGGGGGCCCTTCCCTCCATCCCTGGTACTCGTGGGTAAGGGACTGGTGGGGGGGGGATGGAATCAGCTTGAGTGTTCCAGCCTTAAAACTAACCTCTCCTGTCCACAAGAAACTCTTCTTTTGATAACTAATGCTTGGGAAGGAAGGAGGAAAGAGGTGGACAGAATGTGTAGGGTGGGATCAAGTGAGCTGATTTATTGTTCTGCTTTTCAATAATGAATCTAACCCAGTGAGGCTCCTGTAGTGGCTCTGTGCACCGTGAGGGGGTCCTCAGTGCAAGAATACAGGGCCCGCCCTGATTTCAGCTGCAGATGGTGTGACCCCACTTGTTTCCTGTTCTGATAGGTACCTCTCTCAGCTGGGTGGGTTCTCATAGGGAGAGGTCTGGAATTGATGAAAGAGTAAACACATGCATTTTAAAATAAAGAGGTTTCAATCAACCATGCGTTGCTCATTTCATTTACGTGTAGTATTAACAAATGCTTTTTTTTTTTTTAAAGAACTCCCTTTCAAGCTGGGTGTGGTGTCTCATGTTTAGAGTCCCAGAACTAGGAGTCTGATTCAGGAAGACTGCAACAAGTTCAAGGCCAGCCTGGGCTACATAGTGAGTTCTGGGAAAGAGTGAGTGGCCACCACCAGACCTTTCGAGAGTTGGGAAACTTGCTGTTCAAATGTGACAATATGAATTTTTGTAGCCTGAAGCTAAACACCAAGGGTTGTCAAGGACCTGGAACCACTGGGGTTGTAGGAGATAGCAGCATGAACATCAAATCACCAGAAGCAATATTTACCACAGACTATGTCCCCACCGTGTACCAGACACACCAATGGCCATGTGGACCCGGCAGTGCCTTTGGCCCTCTCTAGTTCCCATGTGAACTGGGCATGCAGTACACACCTGTAATTCCAGCACTGGGGAAGCTGAGGCAGGAGGATTACAAGTTGTTGGCTGGGGATGTAGCTTCTTAGGCAGAGTGCTTGCCTAGCATGAGTGAAGTCCAGGGTTCCATCACCAGCACAGCACTAAGTCTGGTGTGGTGGTGTAACCCGTAATCCCAGCATTTTGGAGGTTGGGGCAGGTAGGTCAAAAGCTCAAGATCATCTTCAACTAGCAAGTTTGTGACCAGCCTAAGAGACACATGATTCTGTCTCAATGACAACAAATAACAACAAAATTAAGTTAAACAATTCTGGTTTCTCCGAACCCATCACAGCACAAGCCATTTTGAGAATCTTGAATTTTTTAGTCATCCAATGTGTGTATTGAGCTCTTGTCTTGATATGGCTTTAATTTGTATTTCCTAATAACAAATGGGACACTCCCCAATTTGTTTAATGGCCACGCTTATATTACCGTAAAATTACCTTTCAATCTATTCTTTTATTCAGTTCTTCCTCTTTTTTTTTTTTTTTTTTTTTTTTTTTTGGTTTTTCGAGACAGGGTTTCTCTGTATTGTTTTGGAGGCTGTCCTGGAACTAGCTCTGTAGACCAGGCTGGCCTTGAACTCACAGAGATCCGCCTGCCTCTGCCTCCCGAGTGCTGGGATTAAAGGCGTGCGCCACCAACGCCCGGCCAGTTCTTCCTCTTTCAATGTTGACTTAAAGAGTTTTACAGGAAAAGAAAAAAGTAAGTCATTTTGCCTTTAAAAACAAAGAGACTTGGGACTGAAGAGATGGCTCAGGGGTTAAGAGCACTGACTGCTCTTCCAGAGGACCAGGGTTTAATTCCGAGCACCCACATGGCAGCTCAGACCTATCTATAACTCCAGTTTCAGGGGACCCCGACACCCATGGAAAAACACGAATACACATAAAAATTTTGAAAATTAAAAAAAATAAAAATTAAAAAAACAAAGAGACTAAATGCAATCAAGTTGACATCAAAGACTTAATGGTCTTCCTGGCCTGTTGAGGTCAAAGGACAATTGCAGAGGAAAAGCTGCTGAGGCATCTCGCTGATGGCTGACTTTCATATGCAAAACCAACCTTACATTAGATAAACCAAGCCCAGCTGGGCATGATGGGAAACACCTGTCATCGCAGCACTCAGGTGTCAGAGGGAGAAGGACCGTCACATGCAGAGGCCAACCTGGGGTAGAAAGGAAGATCTTGCTTCAAATAAAATCATCATTTGTTGGGCCCCAACCCCACGGGGTCTCTGTGAGTTTCTGGTCAGCCTACAAGTGCAATCTGTTTTCCAGTCCAAGTGCTTCCTGTTTTCTAGTCCTAGCTTACTTACTGCCCCAGCCTTGACCCTCTGACATCAACATTCAGCAGGAGGAAAACCCGATCTCTTCTACCTGGGGTTTTTCCACTGTGATGTAAACCTGTATATAAAGCTCCTCCCTCCTACAAGAGAGACCTCTTAGCACTTGCACTGAAGACACACACACACACACACACTCTCTCTCCTGGGAATAAAGGCAACACATGCATTCTCTTAGTACAAACAAGTGGACGTCTGGTCCCTCTTTTCCTGATACCTCGGACCTGCTTGTGTTGCGGGCGCTGCAATTGGAGGTTCCACCAAGATCCAGAGAGACTAGGAAAGATTGGCCAGAAAGAATACTCAGGAGAGGAGAGACTCGAGAAAGAAAAGAATTAAAAACAGGTACCTCAACTTCTAACAGTAAAATTAAATTGTCAAACCTCCAGGCTTTGCTTGAGAGATCACCTTCTAAGGAGAAGGTGGATTGGATTAAATCTCCAGGCCTTTGACTGACACCAAGGGCAGGAAAGAAAGGGGAACCTGAGAGATCATCCTAGGTGTGAGGGTGGATTGGATTAAATCTCCAGGCCTTCACCTGACTATAAAATGAAAAATACACAGAGTCTGGATACTGTGTACAGTTGTGTTGTCTTTAAATTTTTTAATTGCTAAGAAAGGAACAAAAACTGCTAAAAGACATTTGATTATTAATGCTGCTAAATTAATCCAACTTATATATTTTGAAAATGGCTTTGACTTCTAAATTTAAATATAAGGACAGGTTACTTGGGAAAAGAATTTCTGCTTTTGTTTCCACAAAACATAAAAAGCTGTGGGTTCCTTCCAGACTAGTATGGTTTGATGAAGCAAGACCACCTAAAGCAGTGGCCCAGGTGATCCAACATCTAAAACAGCTGAGATGATGCAGCCTTACAGACCACAAAAACAAGAACTTGAACAGGTTTCTGGGTTTTTTCTTTTGTCATGATCCCCATGGTATTTCAGTGCCCCTTAACAGCAGGAAGTAGTTTGGAAAGAACGACGCCCACATTCCCAAATATTGTTTATAAATATTTGTATGCTGATTGGCATTAACGTCCTAGTCACCTGAGATAGGTGCTAATTTATATATAAAGAAGGGGGAAGATGTTGGGCCCCAACCCCACGGGGTCTCTGAGTTGCTGGTCAGCCTACAAGTGCAACCTGTTTTCCAGTCCAAGTGCTTCCTGTTTTCTAGTCCTGGCTTATTGCCCCAGCCTTGACCCTCTGACATCAACATTCAGCAGGAGGAAAACACGCTCTCTTCTACCTGGGGTTTTTCCACTATGCTGTAAACCTGTATATAAAGCTCCTCCGTCCTACAAGAGAGAGAGCTCTTAGCATTGGCAATGAAGACACACACACACACACACACACACACACACACACACACACACACACACACATATACATTCTCCTGACAATAAAGGCAACACATGCATTCTCTTAGTACAAACAGCTGGACATCTGGTCTTTCTTTTCCTGATACCTCGAACTAGCTTGTGGTGCAGGCACCACAATCATTGTCAAAACCTGACTTAGTCCTGGCATAAAATTTCTTGTCTATGTTGATTCTGGAAACAGAAGGTTTGATGTGTTCATCTATTATAAAAGTCAAGATTGACTTCTGATACAGTGAAGCCTTTTTTTACTCTCTCTTTGTCCAAGGACACACACACCTGTTTACAATCTGCTTACCCACAAAGGTATCCATGGGAGGCCAGTAGATGCTAATGTTCTCTGTCCCCTCTTTTGGAGGCAGGAGCTCACCAAGTCTAGAACTCAACCATTCTTTTGGCTAGCCTGGTGGCCCATAAGCCCCAGAGATCTTCTTATCTCCATCTTCCTCCAGTGCTGAGGTTCTAAGTGGGAGCAGCCATGCCCAGCTTTTTACAATGGTGCTGTGGATCTGAACCCATGCTCACATCATGAATGCACTTTTATTTTTTAAGACAATGTAACTGGGAATGACTTTGAATTTCAGATTCTCCTACCTCTACCTCTGAGTTGTAGGATTACAGGTCTGCACACCTAAACCACCACACTTAGCTTCTATGCAGTGAATCCAGGGCCCTGCTCTATTAACTGAACCACATGCCTCCTGCCCTATATTTTCTTCCAAAGGTCATATCATTGACTCCAGGGTGTGTGTGTGTTCCTGATTTCCATACAGGAAATATCTAGTTATCCTAGCACCACTTGCTCTCCCCTGATTTACTGTAGCATCACAGTCTTAGGAATGGAGTGACAGCATTTGTTACTTGGAGAGAAATTGTATTGATTAGAATTAAAGCAAAAACAGCAGAAAGAAAAACAGAGCAAACCCCGGGAGTGGAAAGACACCAGTCATGTGCTGATTCTCACTTTCTTGCTCAATTTCCTGGGTGCAAATCAACATCAGGATAAAACAGACATAGCCTGAAACCTGCTAGAACTCACCTCTCACAGTGGAGACAGACAACTAACCATCACGCAGAACAAATCTTTGTTCGGCGGAAGGCCCTTGGAGGTACACTGTCTAAAGATCTTGCTGTGAGTCCTGTGAAGAGAGAGAAAGAAGAAGAAAGAAGGAAGCTATGCAGCACAAGGACACTTTCATTGAGCAAAAATCCAAAAAGATAGAGATGGGTGAGGAAGAGGAGGGAGGCTCCAGTGGGGAGGACCATCAGTGCTTCCTTGTTTTAAAGGCAACAGCTGTTGAAAATCCTTGAGCACAGGGCTGGTGGGGTTGCTCAGTGGGTAAAGACACTTGCTATCAAACCTAACAACCCAGGACCCATATGTGGAAGGCAAGAATTGACTCCTGAAGATATCCTCTGACCTTGCCATGCAGGCCATGGCATACATGCACATACAAAATGTAATGAAAAGGTTTTAAAGAAAGAAAATGCTAGACTGGAGAGAGGGCTCGGTGGTTCAGAGTTCACAGTGCTCTTCCAGAGGACCTGACGGTGAGTCCCATGCCCGTGTCAGGTGGTTCACAACTGCCTGTACCCCCAGTTTCAGGGGACCTGGTGCCTCTGGCCTTCTGAGGACATGGGGACACACACAGGGAGGTAATTAACACTAAAATAAAATCTTAAATAAACAAAAGTGTTTGACCAAGGACAACAGACACAACTGTCTAGATCAGAACTGTAAGTCCTATCACAATGTGCAGAACGGGCCAGCGTGGGAGAGACTGGGGGCGAG